ACACACACACACACACACACACACACACACACACACACACACACACACACACACCCCTCGGCAATCCTGGGATTCAACACGCGACCTCGCTCTGCCCGTGCTTGTCCCGCGGGTTCTCGCGGGTGCGAATCGACGGGACTCGCCGCAGATTTCCCTGTTCGCTTCGGTTTTCCCTGCCCGCGACTTTCCCCATGCATGCAATCATTTCTTGCTAGCTGTCTGTGTAAGTTTCCCGTCCATATCCTTAGGCAAATGTCATGCGATTGGGGGTTCGTGGTGGTTGGTATTCGTACCGTGACGTCGTTCCTACGCGTTGAGAGAGAGAGTATGACCGCCATGGAGAGAGAGAGAGAGAGAGAGAGAGAGAGGAGGAGAGAGGAGAGAGAGAGAGAGAGAGAGAGAGAGAGAGAGAGAGAGAGAGAGAGAGAGAGAGAGAGAGAGAGAGAGAGACAAACAGACAGATAGACAGACAGACAGATAGACAAACAGACAGACAGACAGACAGACAGACAAAAAAACTTTTGTCGCAAAAGATTTAACTTTGTAGAATATTGTTCACAGATTCAGAGAAAAACTTTTGTTGCAAAAGATACCTGGCATGAAAACGAATCCGATTATGGTTTTCTTTTTCCCCGTTTTTCTTATTATTCTTCATATAATGATCGCGACGATCAACATGCGTCTGCTTGCCACATGGTAGACGCTGTGTGGCGTGGCATCGCACGCTCCTGAAGCTACCCCGTACCCACCAATGCACACGCCAAACCCTTCCCCTTACATCTTCATGTACTCCTTCTACTTCTTTGCTTTTTCTTCTTCTGCTTCTGCTTCTTCTTCTTCTTCTTATTCTTATTATTATTATTCGTTTTATTATCCGTTATCATTTTTTTTCTCTTCTCTTTTTTCTTTATTGCTAATATTCAAAAACATTCATTGAATATACATATATATATGGGATCTCATTTGTTCATTCCCTCAACGACGTAATTCCCAAAACCGACCATATCATTATCAGGGGAGGACTGTAACACAATCCCTAATGCAAATTTTGACTCCACTACCCCATTGTCACACCCTGTGGAGTCCCTAGCATTGTGCAAACTGCTAGCAGAGAATAAATGTTTTGACCCATACAAATCCTTTCAACTGGACAATTTTTTTTCTTCACATGGGCTTCTAATAATAAATCGAAAAAGGGTGAACGAACAAAAAAAAGACGTGACGTCATCTTTGTGAATTAGCACACAATGTCCCTAATCTCTCAAGCTGAGATCTTAACTGGTAACCTCTATGATCACAAGCCGGTTTCAATTGCACTAAATATCGGGGCGTCCTTGGAAGGGGGCAGAGACTGCTTTAGGCTCAGTGTGCACATTTTTGAAGACTTACGTATGTGCGATTGAGTCGTAGAATTCTAGGAAAAATTTGGGAACTTAAAGTTTACAAACTTGTATAACAACTCAGGAGAATGGCTGGACAAAGGACTTCATCTCATGGTAGCTCATTTGAATCTGTTTTCTCGAATTAAAGTCTTGAACAGGAAGATGAGAAAAAATCAATTTAAAAGGAACATTGAAAAGACAGAGGTAAATTTGAGTTTCACCTTTGTTTCAAACGAGGTATGGCTGGGACGCCGTGCTAAATGGCAACAAGAATGGCAAGAAGAACACATAACCAAACAAGAAGCATAGAAAAAAATATAGACATATAAAATAAATTATTGGATCAGAGTCTCATCAGACAGGATGAATAAAACAACCTTGAACCAGATAGAAGGGGGACTAGGCTCCTCCTCGATGTTCAAAATAATCCCCCCCCTTTAATCTGGATGACCCAGTGACAAGGACTTCACAACATATCCTTTACTACGTACGATCGTTTTATGGGGTCCTCCTAACATCCGAAAAGGAGTCAAGTGATCTAATGGTGACCCAAGCACAAGAGAACCTCCTGTGGGGTTCTACACAACGCATTCTCTGTACGGAAGACGAAAAAGAACTGGAAATTTTCATTCACACTTACAGAATCGACCGCGGCTTCAAAGAGTATGACAAAAGGGAAATGGTCGGCTCCTGACGGCCTCCCAGTCGAGTTTTACGATAAGTTATAAAACCTCCTAGATCCAGACGTGGTAAGGGTCGTTAGCAGTATCCTTGATGAGACCAAAATGGGTAACCGAACCACTGAAGGCATCATTACCTTGCTCTACAAGAAGGGGGATAAAAGAGACGTCGTAATTGGTGCCCCATCACCATATTGAATGTAGCAGGTAAAATATTTGTCAAAATCATGGTTAGAAGACTATCATTCGTGATGAGGAAACTAGTAGCACCTAACCAATCCGACTGTGTACCGGGAACGCAAGTGCAAGACAATGTTATGACAATTTCACAAACAATTTAATTGATTAAATTAAGAAACACAAACTCAACAGTGATCCTCATAGACTTTGAGAAAGCCTATGATAAGGTTAACAAAGATTTTGTTCAAGCAATGTTAACAAGAGTGGGAGTGGGACCTAACTTCGTTTGATGGTTTCGCTCTCTTTACAGTTGATCATAAGGTAAGGTACTAGTCAACGGACTCATATCTGCACCTTTCACCATCTCTCGATCACCATGTCAGGGTTGCCCGTTAGCACCCTCTATGTTCGTGATCCAAATGGAGGTAATGTTGAACATGGTCAGATCCCACCCCCACTTCAAGGGTCTCCCATTAAGTCTATCCTACTACTTGAAGGTCTCGACATTAGCAGATGATTTTTCCACTATCTCTGAAAACTCTCTAGGATCACTTAACGCACTTACACAATGCATCACAACCTTTAAATTAATATCATAAAATGAAAGTAAATTGGAAAAAGTCAATTGCCTTGACCCCAAATGACAAACCTTTAACAGTAAATTTGTGTAGTAGGACTCTATGCAACAATGACTCAGCAAGATACCTAGGCATTCTAATATCCTTCTTTGACACCAGTAAAGTTTAAAACTCAAAAG